GCCATACACAGTGCTTCTTCAGTCGAATATCAGAAAGTAGGCCAGGAAACAGTAGAGATGTGAAAAGGACAGATTAATCAGTCCAATCACCATTAAAGTCGAGAATTTGAGAGTGTCAGTCCTCAGTTGAGAAGGTCAGTTCCATAGTCTGGAAATATCTGAAGATCTAGCGACAGTTGTTGAGACTTAATACTTGTCGGAAGGATGAAGGTGCAGAGTTGTAGTAGTAGTAGAATGGAACCACTGAGAGGTCACGTCCTCAGATTAAACAATTCTCACTGAAAAGTTGTCCAAGGTGGTTTTCTGTACCAAGATGCCATTCTGTTGCATGTGTCTGGGACAGGAGTGAAATAGCAAAATGGTATACAATTACCGACAGGTTTGTAGTAAGACACAAGGCAAACAGTTAGGCAGCTTTATTCCGAACCGTTTCGCCCTACACGTAGGCATTCTTCAGTCGAATACAGGAAAGTATGCAGGAACAGTAGAGGAAATAGACAAAGTGCTCCACCAACTCTTACAAAGCTAGTTAAAGTCACAAATGCAAGTCATTATTTTCCTCCTAAGTATAAGGGAGGAAGGTTAGAGAATCACTCACTCTTTCAGACAATCAGGGGTTATATTCAGGGGGGAAAAGAATATACGAAATAATCATCACAGAGTCATTGTAAGGGAGGGAGCGATAAGTGAATGTCACTATTTCCCTAGTAGGCTTCGTGGTAGGGGAAAGAGAAAGAGAGAGAATTCTCCATCACCTCACAGATGTACTGTGAGGGTAAGGGGAGCACAAACGTAACTACATTTCTAATATAAAAAAAATTACACTACCTGTAGTTTTCTTCTCAATGCAGTAAAATACTGTCCTTTATTGACAACGACTTAAAGGACGCCTGTGTTATGCACCGAAACTCCTAATACCATTTAATTAATTACAGAGACGCAAGACTCATCGCCAGTGAAGAAGACTTTCAGAGACGCAGGATGATGGAATCATCACTCAGTGTTTTATCCAACAATTTCAACCAGAAACAGATTCTGTAACATAACTGAACTTCTTGCTAGGAAACATTTTCATCGTTATCCCACATAACAACGGGTCATAGCATCGAGGAACATTGCAGCAGGCCTACTGGCCCATGCTAGGGAGATACTTCTCAGATGCAACCTCTTCCCAGCCATCAACCTCTTCCAGCCTAACTCATCTCCCCACTATGCTCCTTGTACACATACCCACATCCTCTCTCCCCACGTAGATCTGTTTGTGACTTAATAAAGCTTCCTTTGTGGGTGAAACATTGTCAATAAAAGATCGCATTATACTTCATTTGTGTCTCTTTTTTCCATCCATATAAAAGTGTTGGTCCAGTGTCTCTCATACATTCTCCTCATTGACATCCTTTAATTAACTTTTTTTCCATAGATTCATCAGAACAAAACTCATTTTTTCACTTGTTTGACTTTTAATTCACATCTATTTAAACGCACCCATCTGTCTTCTTTTCCTCACGTCTTCTATACTTTCTATTACGAGCACAAGTAACAATTCCAAGACCTGTTGTACCTGGCTGTAACTTAAGTCACAAGACAAGGAGCAACCCAAGCAACCAAAGGGTAGTTTTTTAATAAGTATATTCCCGTCACTAGTATTTACAGAGCTTAAAAAATCAGCAGTATAACAAAAGAAACCTGAGAGCAAAGAGCCACTCATAACAGTTGGATTTGCACCTCAGAATAGATAAGAGAGTATGAGTGTACACGACCAGCTGGAGTGCATGACTGAACTACAGCCAGATGGTTAAGTACATTCTCACATCAGCTGGTGACCACATCTCACGTTATTAGTTGACTGAACAAGACAATTAATGGAGCAGTGATGGTTCCTAGAACTGCTCCATTCTGAATTACCAACGGGTGTTTGAACACCAAATGAATCGTCATGTACTCTGCGCACGCCGAACTTTCTCTCCCAGCAATTAGGCGTTTATTCTTTCACATATGCTTTCTTTCATCACCGTTCTTTTATTTATGCATACAGGTATTTTCTACTTCCTTCTTTTATGTACCCTCCCAAACTTTGCTTTTCCATAAAGTCTTTTAGGACTCTCAGAAAAGTAACTTCAATAACTCCAGCTTCATGTCAGATTCACTATTTCTAAAAGCTTTACCCCTCACCAACACAATTAATCAATTGTTTGAAAAACTATCAATAAATAAAGACGGGCCTAGTGAGCACTCCGTTCTTTGCTAAGATTGTGATGATGGCTTCCCTCGACTATAAGCAACTGTATCACCAGGATATGGTAGAGTTAGAGGAAGCTTGAAGAGAGATTCAACAACTGAAAGTCTTCAAGAAGGGCCGCGTCGATGATCAGACCAACAATTGGATGCTGGTTGGAACGAATGGGACAAAGCTGAAGTTAAGCAAGGTCCAGGAGACTGCCGTAGAGACCAGTAATTCTTTCTCTGTGTTAACAGATGAGTGTGAATGGACGATTCAGGACGTCCCAATGAAGACCATCAAGAACGTCACGACAAACACCGTCAGTGAAGATAAGAACATTGTTTTAGTTAGGGACAGTCAGGTTAATGTTTTACTGGAGCAGGGATGAAGGATACTGTTAGTCATCTGGACAACATCATGAAAAGTAATGGGAACAACCTTTTTATCTATCTGAATCCTGGAGGCAACGTTGTTGGCAGACGTAAGAGTGTGAACCTGATTAGCAGGTATAGGCCAGCAATATACATAATTAGGAAGAAGGGAGGGGACCCTTTCATATGTGTCATTTTGCCGAGGTGGTAACTTGGAAGTGAATGGTTGTCCAGGGCAATTTTATTAGAAAACTGATATTATTAGAAGTCACTTTAATGAGCATAATTTGATTAATGAGTCTCAGCATGAATTTACAAGTGGTCGATACTGCTCGACAAATTTACCAACATTCTTTAATAAAACATTTGAGGCAATGGACAATGATAATGCATATGATGTTTTTTATTTGAATTTCAGTAAGGCTTTCGATAGAGTACCTCACAAGATTGTTAAGAAAAGTGGCAGCTCATAGTATAGGAGATAAAGTTCTAGCACTGGTCGAGGCATGGCTTACCATGAGAAACCAAAGAGTTAGCATTAATGGAGTCAAGTCTGGATTGGGACCGGTCACAAGTGGCATTCCACAAGGATTACTTTTAGGTCCATTGTTGTTCATAATTAACATTAAAGCCATTGATGAAGGAATTACAATTAACATGAGTAAATTCGCTGATGACACAAAATAGGCCGAATAATAGATTCTGCGGAGGATACCAGTGAACTTTAGGAGGATGTGGAAAATTTAGTATCACAGTCTTAAAAGTTGCAGATGCATTTCAGTATGGACAAAAGTGTCAGGTTCTAAACCTTGAGAATGAAAATAACTCCCATAGTTATAAACTAGACGATGTAGAGCTTGATCAGAGTGTGAAAATGTCTTGGGAGTCATGGTAAGCAGAAACCTGAAGCCAAGACAACAGTGCCCAAGTGTGTACAAAAAGGCTACTAGATTACTGGGATTTATAACAGTTCAAAAGTTATTTTACAGCTCTATACATAACTAGCAAGAAGAATTAGACTAAGTAGTCAGTTCCTCAGCCTAGGATTATGTGATAAGCACCGTAGTCTTCAAGAATCTAGTTGTGGGAGTTTCGGTGTAAAACATAGACATTCCTCAAGTCGGCCATTCTGCTGGAGTATTGATGTTCCGTAATACATGTTAGGAGGTCTCATGCTGTTTTTTCCCTTTTAATTGGTTATCCCTACTCAGGATTAATCCCTGTGGTGCCCTTACTGGTGAAGTCTTCGTAATGGATGCAGTGGTAGATACTTGGATTGCGGTACTGGAAAAATATGTTGGAGACATGTTTGTCAACGGAGTTAGTGGGGAGAACTATGTGTTTCCTCTCGACGAAGATGATGTTATATGTACGGTGTCTGTAATCTATGATTAAATAACGAGGATTGTGAAGTTTGGAAAATATTTGTTCGAGGAGAGAACATTCATCCTCAAGAAATTCACTACTGCAGAAACAGAGTGTATGCAGAAATTTGCCAATGATTACGCTACGTTTAGTTCGCCGAGCTTTTAAATCGTCATTTTCGTATTAATTGTTTTGTATTTTCTCGTACTTAAAGTGTTTTGTTTTACTCTTCATTTAATGCAATTAACTACAGTGCTCGTCACGGCATTATGCTAGGTGAGCGCCCCGGCACAATGCTGATGAAACTCAAAGGCCTACTATACAGGGGGGTCTTCGTCAGTGCATTCTACTGGATAGCAGTCGTTAGCATGACGTCTCGGCCTGCTGCCACATTTCACAGTGACTTCTCATTGCTCAAGTGGATGCTGTGGTGAGAGGAAGTGTTGCACTGTTGTCTCTCACCTGCCCCATCTTATGTCCAGTGTTCCCTTTGCTTTTGGGGCTATAAATCTTTGATTATGGGTAAAAGGAAATCTTTAACCCCTGAAACAATAGCTCAAAAATCAAAGCTGGACACCAGACGAAAGTAATAGTGGAGAATACTGGTGTGTGTGAGAGTTCAGTGAGGAACTGGGTGCAGTGTTTCAAGGCTGGTGGTGGTGTCGAGTTACCGTCTGCCAAACCTCGACCTGGCCCCTCGAAGAAGACATCTGTTCGTACCTTAACTGTGATAAAGAAGCAGTTAGAGAGTAACTGCTTCTTTAACACGGTACGAATAGATGCCTTCTTGGAGCAGCCAGGCCGAGGTTAGGCAGACGGTAACTCAACACCGCCACCAACCTTGAAACACTGCACCCAATTCCTTATATTTACTCCTAATCAACGGGAGCTCTATTACAATGTAACCAGGAAATAACAACAGTTAAATATTTATAAAATGCACCATAATGAGTGCAAATGTCATTTTGACAATGGATAAAACTTAGATTAGTGCTCGTTGAGGTATGTTTGAGAGTCCTGGAGCAAAAGGAGGCTTCTCTTACCTTCAGGAATGTCATGTTGCTGTCCTGTAACACAGAGGAAGAAAACAATCTATTTAGTAACAATTATCATTGAAATATTTATTTATGAATAGAATCTTAAGAAGTTAGTAATCATTGTAAGCACAATGTATGTTAGCCAGACAACTTCACAACTCTCTGCGGTTAGCAGAGAGTGCGGCACACCACACATAGGTGTGGCGCACCACACAGGTGTGGCCAAAAAGAATGGCCAGTGTGACAAAGAAACATTTAAACATTCATATATAGAAACCTGTAGAAGTTTCCATGGTACGTGCCATCGCTCATTGTGTTAAGTGCAGTGTTAAGAACGAGTCGCCATAAATCAAACATACTGATCCCTTTCTGGCATTAGCGCACCGCTCGCATAATGCATTATCTCTTATACATGTCAGAGGCTCGTCTATAAGTATATTTTGGGAATGAATCATGTTTTTTATGTAGCTGCATTGTGTATACTTTCTGATTGTCCTTTGTTTATATTATAAAGTAGTTGAGTTCTATGTTATGAATCAAACACTGCTAGGAGTTTTTTTTATTGGAGTTTAATGTATTTCATATCAATAAAAAGTCTGGTGTGGCACGCACAAATTTTTATTCCGAAAGTGAGGCCCAGAGAAAAAAGTTTGGGAAGCACTGTGTTAGTCACCTGCACAACCCTCATGGGCAACATTACGTCAAAATATCATAACTCAGCTACATGGAAAATAAAGCAGATAATTCAAAATGTTATATCAGAAATTGAGAGTTTCAGTAAGCGACAACACAGATCAACCGTCGGACTGTTAGACAATGTCTGAATAATAACAATATTCAGACTGGTAATACTTGATGTCAGGGACTGACACCCTCAGCAAGACAGGCTTCACTTGTCTTTACAAAATATTGATGAATAAGACGCATGTGCAATATGTGGCTGCACAGTAAGTTTCTTTAGTGGAATATACAGGTGATTAATATACTAGACACAGTTGAAAAGTTAGAAGTATTCAGTCTTAAATTATCACTTGATAAAAGTTCAATTCCATATCACTGTTCACTCGAAGAAGAGGTACAGAGATGGAACTTTATACATATATATGGACCGGAAGTGAGATATGGTAATTTGAGATGTTTTCACAAGAGACGAGACCAACTAGCAGGCCTACTGGAAAATACTAGGCAAGATCTTCTCAGCCTTCCTCACACATATGAACATGTCAATAAGATTTGGGGCAATAAAGTCATAGGTAATTTCTGTATTAAGACTTCGTAGTGATACTGAGTCAGAAAAATTTCTATATTTTTTACGGAATAATACTTGATTGACAAATAAAAAGATAAGACATGTGTGTTGGTCATGTTGATATGACAGACAAACATTATTATTGTACTACTAAATGTCGGTGAGAGAGAGACGGCTGAATCGTACAGCTGAAACTAATACCAGAGAGTTTTAATGTAAGAAAGCGATATTTTAAGAGAAAAAGGGAATGTAAAAGTCCCGAGAGAAACATATTTAAAAACATATAAACAAGGAATATAATATAAACAGTTTAGAAAACCTACAAGTTGATGACTGAGACACTTGTGTAACACTCAAGTGTTGTGTAACACTCAAGTGTTGTGCAACCCTCAAGTGTTGTGTAACACTCAAGTGTTGTGTAACACTCAAGTGTTGTGCAACCCTCAAGTGTTGTGCAACACTAAAGTGTTGTGCAACACTCAAGTGTTGTGCAACACTCAAGTGTTGTGCAACACTCAAGTGTTTGTGCAACACTCAAGTGTTGTGAAACACTCAAGTGTTGTGCAACCTCAAGTGTTGTGGCAACACTCAAGATGTTGTGTAACACTCTAGTGTTGTGTAACACTCAAGTGTTGTGCAACCCTCAAGTGTTGTGTAACACTCAAGTGTTGTGCAACCCTCAAGTGTTGTGCAACACTCAAGTGTTGTAAAACACTCAAGTGTTGTGAAACACTCAAGTGTTGTGAAACACTCAAGTGTTGTGCAACCCTCAAGTGTTGTGCAACACTCAAGTGTTGTGTAACACTCTAGTGTTGTGTAACACTCAAGTGTTGTGCAACCCTCAAGTGTTGTGTAACACTCAAGTGTTGTGCAACCCTCAAGTGTTGTGCAACACTCAAGTGTTGTAAAACACTCAAGTGTTGTGAAACACTCAAGTGTTGTGAAACACTCAAGTGTTGTGAAACACTCAAGTGTGTTGTGAAACACTCAAGTGTTGTGAAACACTCAAGTGTTGTGAAACACTCAAGTGTTGTGAAACACTCAAGTGTTGTGAAACACTCAAGTGTTGTGAAACACTCAAGTGTTGTGAAACACTCAAGTGTTGTGAAACACTCAAGTGTTGTGAAACACTCAAGTGTTGTGAAACACTCAAGTGTTGTGAAACACTCAAGTGTTGTGAAACACTCAAGTGTTGTGAAACACTCAAGTGTTGTGAAACACTCAAGTGTTGTGAAACACTCAAGTGTTGTGAAACACTCAAGTGTTGTGAAAACACTCAAGTGTTGTGAAACACTCAAGTGTTGTGAAACACTCAAGTGTTGTGAAACACTCAAGTGTTGTGAAACACTCAAGTGTTGTGAAACACTCAAGTGTTGTGCAACACTCAAGTGTTGTGAAACACTGAAGTGTTGTGAAACACTCAAGTGTTGTGCAACACTCAAGTGTTGTGCAACCCTGAAGTGATGTGAAACACTCAAGTGTTGTGCAACACTCAAGTGTTGTGAAACACTGAAGTGTTGTGCAACACTCAAGTGTTGTGCAACACTGAAGTGATGTGAAACACTCAAGTGTTGTGCAACACTCAAGTGTTGTGCAACACTGAAGTGATGTGAAACACTCAAGTGTTGTGCACACATCAAGTGTTGTGCAACACTGAAGTGTTGTGCAACACTCAAGTGTTGTGCAAACCTGAAGTGATGTGCAACACTCAAGTGTTGTTCAACCCTCAAGTGTTGTGAAACGCTCAAGTGTTGTGCAACCCTCAAGTGTTGTGCAACACTCAAGTGTTGTGCAACACTCAAGTGTTGTGCAACACTCAAGTGTTGTGCAACACTCAAGTGTTGTGCAACACTCAAGTGTTGTGCAACACTCAAGTGTTGTGCAACACTCAAGTGTTGTGCAACACTCAAGTGTTGTGCAACACTCAAGTGTTGTGCAACACTCAAGTGTTGTGCAACCCTCAAGTGTTGCAAAAGTGTCTCATTCATCAAGGAATATAATTCTGATGCTTTGGGAACTACTACAAAATGACTGGCTGGTTACTAAGAACTTTATTAACAGGAGTGAGCAAGTCACTCATGACTGATTATCCTGCAACACAAGCGAGGAATATATATCATAATTTACATTCGAAAAATACTGTCGCATTTACAAATGTGATAGTAATCATGGACAAAGTAGATTACTGTGGAAAAAATAAATATGTTATTACAAGATAGGATAATTTCCGAGCCCCTTAATACGAACCCCTTTGGATCAGGTTAATAGTAAGTTTAATAAACATCTTAGAACTTTACTGAGAGGTAATGAGGAACTGATTAAACAGTTATGAACTAAGTCAGCGACACTTATATGTATGGTTTGATTAAGACCCACAAACCCGGTTTTCCAGGGGGACCTGTTATTATCCCAGGAGGGTCGGCGACTTATGCCTTGTCAAAATGGCTGGTAAAGGTATTAGCTCCAATGCTTGGCAACACCTCGGAAGCCCACATAAAAAAACAACGCTGACCTCATTAAAAATTGCAAAATTTTAATTATTTTATTATTTTTTTTATTATCACACTGGCCGATTCCCACCAAGGCAGGGTGGCCCGAAAAAGAAAAACTTTCACCATCATTCACTCCATCACTGTCTTGCCAGAAGGGTGCTTTACACTACAGTTTTTAAACTGCAACATTAACACCCTCCTTCAGAGTGCAGGCACTGTACTTCCCATCTCCAGGACTCAAGTCCGGCCTGCCGGTTTCCCTGAACCCCTTCATAAATGTTACTTTGCTCACACTCCAACAGCACGTCAAGTATTAAAAACCATTTGTCTCCATTCACTCCTATCAAACACGCTCATGCATGCCTCCTGGAAGTCCAAGCCCCTCGCACAAAAAACCCTCCTTTACCCCTCCCTCCAACCCTTCCTAGGCCGCCCCCTACCCCGCCTTCCTTCCACTACAGACTGATACACTCTTGAAGTCATTCTGTTTCGCTCCATTCTCTCTACATGTCCGAACCACTCAAAAACCCCTTCCTCAGCCCTCTGGACAACAGTTTTGGTAATCCCGCACCTCTCCTAACTTCCAAACTACGAATTCTCTGCATTATATTCACACCACACATTGCCCTCAGACATGACATCTCCACTGCCTCCAGCCTTCTCCTCGCTGCAACATTCATCACCCACGCTTCACACCCATATAAGAGCGTTGGTAAAACTATACTCTCATACATTCCCCTCTTTGCCCCCAAAGGGACAAAGTTCTTTGTCTCCACAGACTCCTAAGTGCACCACTCACTTTTTTTCCCTCATCATTCTATGATTCACCTCATCTTTCATAGACCCATCCGCTGACACGTCCACTCCCAAATATCTGAATACGTTCACCTCCTCCATACTCTCTCCCTCCAATCTGATATTCAATCTTTCATCACCTAATCTTTTTGTTTTTCCTCATAACCTTACTCTTTCCTGTATTCACCTTTAATTTTCTTCTTTTGCACACCCTACCAAATTCATCCACCAATCTCTGCAACTTCTCTTCAGAATCTCCCAAGAGCACAGTGTCATCAGCAAAGAGCAGCTGTGACAACTCCCACTTTGTGTGTGATTCTTTATCTTTTAACTCCACGCCTCTTGCCAAGACCCTCGCATTTACTTCTCTTACAAACCCCCTCTATAAATATATTAAACAACCACGGTGACATCACCATCCTTGTCTAAGGCCTACTTTTACTGGGAAAAATTTCCCTCTTTCCTACATACTCTAACTTGAGCCTCACTATCCT